GTAAACAAATAAATAAGCTATAAGTCCCCTTCTTTAGGGATTCATCTATTAATAAAAATATAACTAAAATAATAGTCTAAATTCAAACATTAAAAGCATCAAAGGAAGAGGAGAGCACTTACCCACTCTTTTATGGTAATTCCCTACAGCTAATAAACTCCTTGTTTTAGTGCATTCGAAAGCCAAAAGTCTGCCCAATCATTCAGCCAAGTTATGAACTACAGTTAGCTGGAGTTTGGCCGACTGCCTGGCTGCCGCCTGCCTTGATGCCTGACTGGGCTGCCTGGGCCGCCTGGGCTATATAGGTCTTCATGGATCAATGGGATACGCGTGATATCCTTCGGCTAGATTCTGTTTGCTGCTCTGCGCTTTTCACGTCTTCCGTTTGCCAGATTTCGTTGGCTATAATTGTGCCATTAGCTGGCTGTCTGGTCTGGTCTGGCATGGACTGGACTGGACCGGCTCCACTCGATTGGTGGGGAGAGTACCAGAGCACCAGAGCACCAGTGCCACAGTATCACCCTCCCGGCTGCATTCTCCTCTCCGTGAACCCTTTGCTCTCGGCCCCCCCTGTTTTTGGCTTGTGTCTACATTTGCATCCGTTTAGGTAACCATTTTTGTGCTGTGCCTTTCGAAAGTCGCATTTAACGGTCCCGTCCCTCCTAATGTGCGCACTGATGCGCATTCTGTGGTCCACTCCGCTCGGACTCGGACCACATTCGAAAAGAGATCCCCAAGCCAGGCCAGGCCAGGCCGAAGCCAGCGATCCGTTTCGGCTATGGGACTGGGTCTGGGGTATATAGGATGGGTCTGAGCTGGAATGGGGCGTGTAACTGGGGCGCAACAAAGGCCATTTGTGTAACTGGCACATAATCAACAGTTGCTTAGTTCAGGGCGTTATGGTTCCTACAGTTCCTTCACATTTCGATTCAGGCCACAGCAGCAGTCCCCCCGACCCGTCCCGTCCCTGCTAGCCTTTATCCATGCTCGTTATCATAATGTGTTGGCTCATTTGAGGGATTGCGGAGTGGGAGGAGCCGTATACATAGCTGGAGCCTTCCATGTGCATCAGAAGCCCGCGCGACCCTGTAATCAGTGAGGTGTGAGTGACCTGAATCTGAGCATCGGGCATCAGGAAAATCGTTATGGCTCGGGCTGGGGCTGGGGCTATGGCTCCCTGTAAGTGGAGAATGTTGCAAAAGGCAGAACGCGGCTACTTGATCCTCTCTCATATTAAAAAGCATTTCTTCCAGCCATAAATGGTTGGTTAGAAAGGTTCCAACTAGTTTCAAATCGAACGAACGAACCAAACCGAACCGAACCGAACCACTGCCCACCGGGGGGCGTTGGATGGCATTCCATGAACTTTATGGGATGGGATGGTGTTGTGCCTGAGAGCAAAACATTCAGCGAGTTCTATCTAATGGGTTGCTGAAAGCTGAAAGATGTGAAAGATTTTACATGGAATAGCCCATGGTTGAAGTCTTCAATTTGTAGGAATAAAACTAAGACAAACTTCGTAGTGTGGGTCTTTCCTAAAGTCTTTCATACATTTCCCAAAATTACAATAAAAATAAGATTAATGGAATCGTCATTTAAATATCATCAATTTCTAAAACTTCAGTCATTCAGCACACAGCAAAAAAGGATTCAATTTATGTAAATTCTGTAAGTTAAAAATTAAAGCCCGCAACCTCGTCCAGGATACTTAACCCCCCCGCTTAACGGAAGGCTTTAAAATTATCAACTGCAATGACTCCGAAACTGTGAGAGGAAGAAAGGAAATCAGACTGCTTCTTGTACTACATATCTCACATATTTGTACCAAAGACTACAATGACAAGATTCTGCATGAGCGACCAAAAAGCTCTTCTTATCGCTACGCGCCATTGACAGAGAGAGCGCGCGTGGTTTCATTCTCTTTTCGGCGATGCTTCGTCTCTCACCGCGAACCCGCTGCCCGACGGCTGCGTCTGCGCATGCATGTGCATGCCTTTCGCACAGTGGGCGCTTTGCCTAATTCAGCTGGCTAAATTAATAAGCAAACAAGAGTGCAATACATTTTCTTAGACTGACACAATTTTAAACTTTGGTTGCTATATGTATCTACTAAAATAAAATTATCTTCAAAATTAAATTTTTGAAAGCTTTGTAAAATTCTTTTTTAGATGCGTATAATTTTTTTATCTTAAGCGCTCATAACATTTTTTGGCCTGTGTAGCCCTTTTTCGGCTGAGTCCCCACTGTGCCGCGACAAAGACTTTAGCATTGACGAAGCCAGTAGCAGAACAGTAGTAGAGCCTGAAAGAGAATTGAAGAAAAGACCCGCGCGCCCTTACAAAGAAGAGTCCAACGAAAATTGAATGGGTATTTGTGCATCTTGGTTTGTTTGTAGTGTAGTGTTTGCTTGTACCTTCCATGTACCATATGTATAAACTTTTAGCTTACATTATTTTAATTAAAGAAACAAATGTGATCATCCCATAGAGTTTCATACGACTCATTCGAAATACCTCAACTAGATTAGGTCAAGCTTTAATCTACAATTACGACGATCGATCCCCTTGAAATGCCATAATCACACATAATCCAATTCATAGTCTGCCCATTAATTGGGCAACATGTTGCACGAAAATTGTTCATCCACTTGGGCTGGGCTCTGCTCCACTGCGAAATTATGCCTTCTTCAATTAACGCCAAGAGATCAATTTTGGACCCAGACTGTGACCAAATAACCGACTAATATGCCTCGACTAGATTCTTGGAGCCACCACAGCCAGAGGCAGACACAGACACAGACACGGACACGGAGTCAGAGGCATAGGCAGAGGCAGAGACAGAGTCTGGGGCGGGGCACATTGGATGTGAAACCAATTACCAATTATCTACTGTTTTCTACACAAATTTAACATAATTTGGCCAGTTTTGCGTTCAAATTTGTGGCACAATTTGTGTGGAAGTTGGCTGTGGTCAGGGCCAACAACCACGCGCCCGTCCCGCCGGAGACTCCGGAGACTCTCGCAATTGTGGCCGGGCCGAAGATTATTATTTTGGCTACCGACTGCCAAATGTATTTCGCATAATCGAAAGTGACCGAACCGCAGATATTCATATTTCAAAGATCTTTTGTGTGCTGTATGCCCCACGAGTAACGGTCGGTCGATGGTCGTCGATGGTTATGCGCACAGGTTGCCAGAAATAAAAGAGCAAAAAAAAAAAAAACAAAAAAAAAAAGAGTTGGCAAAAAATGATTGATGCCAATATACAGCGCCCCGGCTAATACAATTTAAATTTCAGTTAAAGACAAAAGACCAAACAAAAGCACCAGAAAATATCAAAGAAACGAAGAGGCAACAACAACAACAACAACAACCAAAAAAAAAAATGAAAAGTATTCATGGATACTGCTGCTCCATTCGTAGATCTCTCATAGTTTTAACCGCATTTCGCCGAAGGCGTAACACACTCTAAACCGGAAGGGTAATTAACTCGCGTTTGCCGATCACGCCTTTGCATGCAGATCAAAACCCAGCCACAGATACAGATACAGATACAGATAGATCTTAAGCCAAAAAAAAAAACCAAACCAAGCGGAGATGGATGGTTCGATGGATGACTTGGGTTGGTTACCCAGATGGATGGATGGCTTGGCTTGCCCTGGCTTGGCTTGCCCTGGCTTGGGTATATTAAAAAGCTATAAATTTCGGGTTTCGTTTTTCCCTGCTTCGGTTTTTTGCTAACTCTGGGCCAATGATTAATAATATAGCGAGTGGTTTTATAGGCAAATGCGTTCACAATTACGAGTAGGTTTGTGGGGCTCGGGCCAGGATTGATGGGTGCATAAAGTCTTCTTTTATGCGGTAATTGAGTGCAGAGGAACCAACCTTTTTCAATGGCTTTATTATGCCTACAAAGTGTTTTGGTTTATGTGGTTTTTGTTTTTTGTTTTGTTTTTGGTTTGTGAAATGAGACAAATGTTCCACACAAATGAAGACATTCAAAGGGAAAAGAGAGTAAGAGCTAAGAGTAAGCAAAGTTAACGAATATGATGGAAAAAAAAACTCTGATTTGAGTTTGTTAATTTCTGTATAATTCCCCTTTTGACTCCTTTTGATTTTGTTGCCCAACAAACAATTTGCCTTGATGTGATTGTTTCATTTATTGATTTTTCATTTTTCATAACGATCTTTTCCTGGTTTTCCATATACATATACATACATATACATATATATGTAATAATAATAATAATATAATTAAACGTTAAGTAAATGTTATAAAATTGATTTTGTTTTGTGTTGTTTTTGTTTTGTTTTCGTGTGGTTTTGTTGTTGTTGTTGTTTGTCGTTTGAGAATTGCAATAATTAGCTCTATAAATATGTCAAACTTACAGCGAAATATACTCGTACTCTCGTATCATACTATATGCAGATGTATACACAATCAAAATGTTCACAAAGATCAATTAGTTGAAGAACAAGTTGGCGATCTTCATAGGTTAGTTATGTACAAGGGGGAATGGGGGGCAATTAGCTACAATTAAAGGTGGTTTTAGTAGTAGTAGTAGTAGAGTGGGGGGTGTGATGTATCGATCGTATATATGTATCTATATGGTATATATATATATGGTTTAGTATAAAGTTTACTGAAACATGAGGCTTTCCCTTCAATCCGTTGTTATATCAGCTGTATATATTTACTGTACGCTTCACCGTCTTTTTCCATTGATTGCATAGCTAACGAATAGTTTTTCTTTTTCTTTTTTCTTTTTTCTTTCCTTTCAAACATTTTACATGGTTAAGTTTTTTTAGTTGTTGTTTTTGTTGTGTGTGTGTGTGTGTGTGTGTGTGTGTGGGAAATAGCAGCTACTTAAAGATTAAATTCCCTCTCGGAGGCACGCTTAAGTAAGAGTTTAAAGTAAGTTTTCAATGCCCTAACAATTCAACAACAACTCGGACTGCTGCCCTCCTCCTTCTCCTTCTCCTTCTCTGTGGGCCACTCCTTCAGGTGCTCACTGTAATGGCCTTGCCGCCTCCATTCGTGTTGCTGCTGTTGCTGCTGCTGTTGTTGTTTTTGTTGTTATTGTTGTTGTTGCTGTTGCTGGTATTATTGTTGCTGGCATCCTTGTCCAGATTGACGGACTGACGGGTGGACACGGACAACTGATCATCGCTGCCCGCATACTCCTCCGTATCGCCATCGGCGCCGCCCAAACTATTCGGCGTGTACATGCGATTCATGAACGTGCGAATCTCCTCGAAGTACTCGTCCCGCTCGGCCTCCGCGGAGCTGGGCGAGTCCCGGAAGTCGCCACAGCCCTCGCCGGTGCCATTGGCATCCGCCTCGTGCTTCTTCACATGCCGATCGAGATTCGTTTGCTGGCCAAAGCACCGATCGCACAGATCGCAGCGGAAGGGCCGCTCCTTGTTGTGGATGTTCCGCACGTGGCGCTGCAGGTTCGAGGAGATGCTGAAGGCACGGTCGCAGTACTTGCACGAGTACGGCTGCTCGCCCGTGTGGGTGCGCAGGTGGCGCGTGAGGTTCGCGGATCGGGGGAACACCTTGCCGCAGAACTTGCACGTGTAGCGATCCTTGGTCTTGAGGGCGCTCGGTGAGCGGCCACTGGCACTGGTGGCGTAGCGCAATGCCTCGCGAAAATTCACGGGCGGAAGCGGCCTGGTCGAGGGTGTCGAGCAGCCCTTGCCATTGGCTGCTCCTGCTGTCAGCATCGCCTCAATATTTGGCCGTCCGCCCGTTGGGCATAAAAAAGGAAACGTGCGCTGTGAGAGTCCGGCCAGGGCCCGCGATCGGTAGATCTCCTCCAGCAGCAGCGGATGCAGTGGCCGGGGACAGGCCATGGCTGCCGCCGTGGCAGCCTCAGCCGCTCCGGCGGCCACAGCCGACGCTTGCGCCGCTGCCACAGCACCCTCCGACATGCTGCTCATCTCCCCGCCCGCACTTGTGGGCGGCGATGGCGATGGGGTGGGTCCCGGCGAGGCACTCGGCGTGGGACTGCTGCCCTTGTACGACTGCCGCGAGGTGGAGGACTCGCCCGAGCTGTGGCTCTTGCGGCTCTGCTTCGTCGGCGGCTCGGCATCCTCGTCGGGCAGCAGCATCAGCGGCCACGCCGGCGATGCTGGCGACGCTGGCGGCTGAAGTTCGCGGAAGGCGGAGAAACGCTTGCGGCAAATGGACAGATCGAGTGGCAGTTCCGCGGTGGGCTTGTCCGTCGTCGAGTCCGTGGGCGGTGGCGTGCTAACGATGTCGATGGATTTCTAAAACAAAACAAAAGCTGAGATTAATCTCCGTTTGGTGGGGACTCCGCTGGGGTGGACTTACTCTGTCATCTTCGGTTTGCTGCTCATCGGGTGAGCTCTCCCGCTTGAGCTCCATTCGCTCCTCAGGCTGGAGGTCCTTCTTCGGATCTTCTGGCTCCATTTTCATAGCGCTGGACTGGACTGGCTCCTCCTCCTCCTCGTCCTCTTCGGACACCTGCAGCAGTGGCTCCGACTTGAGCTTCTTCTCGTCGGGCGTGGAGCCACGCCCCGCCTTCGCCTGATGGTGCTCCTGGTGGGGCGACTCTCCGCCCGGCTGTCTCTCCAGATCCAGGGCGAAGGGATGGTGGCGGAAGGCGGCATTGGGCGAGGTCATGGGCGGCATGCCACAGCCCATGTCCATCGGTGGCTTCGGAAAGAAGAGCGGGAAGTTGGTGGCCCGCAGGGGACTCGAGGGGAAGATCCCGGGCAGACCGTACGGCGGGAATCCTGGGAAGAACGGAGGTCCTGGGCGGAACATGAGGAAGGGATTGGGTGGCGTCGTCATGGCAGCGGCAGCGGCAGCCGCAGCAGCAGCAGCCGATGATGCAGATTCTCCCTGGGAGTCGCCCGCTGGCCCCTGGGACTGGCCGGAGGTCGAGGTGGCGTTTAGCGGATGCTGGTGGCGGCCCAGCGGCTGGTTGCGGTACGAGCCCGTGGAGTCGCAGAACTTCTTGTGCTTGGAGAGCGAGGTGACGGTGCTGAAGCTCTGGTTGCACTTGGAGCACTTGATCTGCATGCGACAGGTGGCGTGCATCCGCTTGTGGCGGCACAGATTGGAGAACTGCGTGTACGCCTTGAAGCACACCTCGCAGGCGAAGGGCTTCACCGAGGAGTGGATGTGCTGGTGCTGCTTCAGCCCCGACGAGGTCCCAAATGTCTTGCCGCACTCCGGACACGGATGACAGCGAGCGCCGACGTGGTAGGCGCGAATATGCCGCTGTAGATTCGATGAGTCCCGAAATACCTGCAAAAGCGATAGACAGAGAGAAACGATCAGATCAGAGACAAGGAATGACTACGATTGGTTGGCTTTGGGTATGGCATGGGGTATGGCATGGGAGGGAATGGTTATGGCTATGGTTATGGCTATGGTAATGGGAATGTACTCTCAAAGCTGGTAATGTGTGCGTGCCAACTCCACAATTGTTTCTGGCAGTGAAGCGTTTTGACTACTGAGCATTGATCTGGTTCCAGTTTCATTCCAAATGAAATGAAATCAAATGAAATGAAACTGAAATTAATCAATCATCTGGTCGGGTCGGGTCTTGTTCGCTGCTGGCTAAACGGATCTCGATGTGTGTGCTGTGTGCTATGCCTAGACAATGCCCTGACGACGACGCTCTCCGAGATTACGCAAAGGTAAGCAGAGCAATCCACCCACAGCCAGCAGCAGCAGCAGCCAAACACCTTCGTCAATTATTAACATCAATTGCTACAATTGTCATTGCCTGCCTGGGCAGGTCGAGCCCATCTAAACCCCTGAAGCACCCAGCAATTGTGGCTCAGGGATGGAGAAGAAAAAAAGTATTCTGTTGCCAAGTCACTGTGCAGTGTTGGATAACCAATGCAAAGCGCTGGAGTGTTGGATAGCTGAGAGTAGTGCTAGCAGCTAATTAGTAATGTAAACTGTGATCTGACACAGGGGTAGCAGATATATCTGGTGTAGAAACTCCACTTTGAACAGTCGGCAATGCAGGGCAGTGTTGGTCAATTTAATTGGAATTAAATTACCATATTTAAAGCTATAAAGAGGATATAATTTGTGCAGTCAGGCAACTGATAATTGAGCTATGAATAATTGGAAATTAACATCCAGCAAAGGTAGAAGATAATTCTTCTTAAATACGATTCTTCCCTTTTATTGTTCCTCCATTATAAGAAACAGTGACACTTGCGCTGCTCCAGTGACTTTTCGTGACTAGCCCTAGATTATGGCCGAAAATATTCGAACCCAAGCCAAGTATTTTCCATTGCTGGATGGGCAGGGGGCTGGGGGCAAAACGCAATGACAGATCGAGCCAAAGAAGAGGATGCGGGGGAGCCTGAGGGAGCAGTGTGGCATCGGCATCCAGTTTTATATATTTTTTTTTTTTATTTTGTATTTTTACCCACTTCAAACTTGATTTCGGTCAGTACAGCCAGTACAGCCAGTACAGCCGCCAGCCGCCTCCACCCGCGCTCTGGAGCTGCCTTTTTACGAAACTGTTATGCCTAATCATGCTGTCATAATGCGCTACGAATTCATATCAAACGATGATCGAGGCAGCCTTTTTTGTCTATGGCTATGACTCCGACTCCGCACTGGCACAGAGCCGCACACAAAAGGCAACGTGGAGTGGGGGAGTGGGGAGTCGGTAGAGAGGGTAGAGGGTCAGAGAGAGGCTGTAGCTGCTGCTGCTGCGGCGGCGACATACAAGAATAGCTCGTGCTATAACTACATCAAATGGATTAGATTCAACTACTCTCCAAAAAGGCGAAAAACGCCACAAAAGACAACGACAACGACGACGACGAAGACGACGTTACAACTACAACGACTATAGCGACGATGGTGTTACGGCCACAGAGGGAGGAACAGCAACAAGAGCCACAGAGCAACTCAGAGATGAAAAGCAGTCGAAGCAGCACAGCACCCGGTGGGATAGGTGTAGGTGTTTTGGCATTCGGGCAGCCGAAGCAGGAGGAGTACTCGCACTCAAGAGACGAGAGATCTAGGCAGGCGGCTGGGTTGCTGTTGCTGTTGTTGTTCCTCGTGTGGAATGCGATTGTCTTGGGTGTGGGGTGCAGAGTGCGGGACGTACAGCCAGCTCTTGCGGGAGCGTACGTGGGGTCAGTTAGGGCGTTGCCAGTGGGGTAATGCCTGAAGATGGGATCACTCTGGTAGCCTAATGGAGTTACGACTACTGGATAGAGTCTGCCATTCGCAAAGGTTGCTGGTATATAGGAAGCGTAATTAATGCCCGAAGATGAACGAAAATGAATAAGTGACCCAAAAACCTGATGGCTGTAAATGCTAAAATATTTCTACGATTTTTCCCAAGTAATGACTGAAGAAGCGGCCTGTCCAGGGCTTAATAGAGCTGCAACTTTAGTAGATATTCTTCCACTGATTCAGGCCAGAAAGATGAGTTTATCTGGAAGTTCAGAGAACTTCTCTAGTAATAGTAAATGAAGAAAATATCTGCCTTGAGCTGCAATATAGTTGCGGGCATACTATAACCAGACATTCCCCTTTCAGGTCTTTCTCTGCAGCATTCCCTTTGCCCTCTCAAGCCCCCCAGAGTCACAGCTCAACTGCCTCATCACTGGCAGGGGCTGGCAGGGGCTAAGGCTAAGCCGGACAACAAAACCTTGTAGATCCATGGCAAATCCCTTTGGAAACGCTTTAAGCTTGCTGCTTAAAACAAACAAAGCTGACAGCTGCAGAGACCCCGTTTTGGTTGGTGGCCGGCCTGTCAGGCGAGAGCCAAAGAGAGTGCCGTGCCCGGAGTCGGTAGATTTTGGACCCCAGCGAAAGTACCAGGTATGCATGCCCTTTCCCGTAAAGATCGATCATCATTTGTTTGGGCCGAGTGGCTCCCGTTTATGTCCATGTAAGAGTCGGAGTAAGAGTCGGAGTAGGAGTACAGCTGCCCAGAGGGAAGAGGGACGGACCCCTGCCACAATGCGTGCTACTTACATGCCACCGAAACAATTACAGAGCGCTAAGTAAACTAACTGTAATGCCCCCCCCCCTCCATGCGAAGGGGGTAGCGATTGAAATACCGTTCGATTTGGAAATGGAAAAAAAGGGAAAAGGGAAAAGCCAAAAGAAAGAGCCCCCAATCTGAGGCTGTAGCTGAATCTCTGTTTCTATGGCTGAGCAATGCGACCACAAGATTGTAATCAACATGCCATTAAAACATCTTTGGAAGATGTCGAAGCCCGGCAGAGTCTTCGTCGTCGGCGTCGTCGTCGTCGTCGTCTTCGTTGTCGTCGATGACAATGACGAAGTGCGACGCATGAAACGAATCGTTGCTTCGATTCGATGGATGGATGGTTGGATGATTGGACGGATGGCTGGCTGGCTGACTGGATAGATGGATGGGCTCTGACTCAAGTCCCGGGCCCTTTAATTTCGCTTTGGCATTCAAATGCAGCCAACGAAGATGAACAACACAATAAAAGAGCTTCAGCTTCAATTTCTATGTAGATCGAAGATCGAAGGGGATCGGAGACAGCCGTTGGAGAGCGGGGGGTTAACAAAGTTTGTTCATTACCATGGAGAGGTCTCTTAAGTGTTTTGGATGAGTACACGCCCTGATTTTCGTATTGCAAGCCGTAAGCCGTAAGCCGTGCCAGCGCGTGCGGCAATAGACGGTGGCCAAAGAGAGAGAGAGAGCGAGGAAGGGAAGGGGAGGGTAAGAGTCGGATTTGAACACTCTCCAAACGGTTACTTAAAAGCCAAGTTAGCGGCAAAAGCGGCAAAGCGGCGGCGGCAGCCGTTGAAGCGCCTCCGGCTATTGATCTGCTAGAAATCAAAAGTCTTTTTATGTTTTCCAGCCAGCCAGCCAGCCAGCCAGCCACCAGAGCTGATACAATAATTAATGACTGGCCGATATCGTATTGGCATGAGCCTCAAAGATGACCGAACACCGAAAAGCGAAGAGCGAAGAGTGAAGAGCGAAGACCGAAGGTTGCCGATCCCAGTAGCTGCTGTATCTGCCAGCAATTGAATGTGATCTATCTTCGAACAATACCCTGAGTATATCTTTGATCTTAGATCTCTGCAGTTGTTAGAATATTTCTGATTATCTTAAGCTGGCTACAAAACCAGTGAGGGTAGATGGTAGCTGGCAGATATATCCACACTTGGTTCAGATGATTCAGTAACACTTTTAATAGTGCTCCTAAATTGAAGTGGGGTCTTGACTTACCTTGCTACAATTCTCGCAGGAATATTTGCGTATATTATTGTGGGATATTGCCTCGTGTTTGATCAGCAAAGGACGATTGCTGAAGCGCTGCGAGCAGAGTTTGCATGGGAATTCGTCCTGCTTGAAATGATGGGCGCCCACCAGATGATCGTCCAGGCTGCAATTAAATTGGGCACAAAAATAATACACAAAATTAGTCTAAAAGGAAAAATTGAGAGGTAAGGCAAGTGCGTGGGGGGCTTGGCATTCCCTTAGTAAGTCTCTTGTCTCTTGTCGGTTCTTTCTTATCTGACTAACTGTCATCAGCAAATGAAATTAGCATTGTGACATTTTGGGGGGCTTTGGGCTTTGCTTTGAGAGCTGCTAGCTGCTGGCTGCTAGCTGCTGGCTGCTAGCTGCTGGCTGCTTGCTGCTGCTTCCCAATCGCCGTTCTCAATCAGAGTCATGTGCGGCAGTTCACACGCCCCGAGGCGCCTTTGTTTGTTGTCCCAACTGGGAGAGAGTACGCCCCCCGCGCGACTCCACGCGGGCGTCAATTAGTCAAATGATGTTCAATATTTAATATGCTTCGAGATGATAAGAGATCTGGGTACGGGTACCGGCAACAGCTGCGGCCAATGAGGGGACGACGGGACTCTGTGTGCAGAGTCCTTGCAGAGCTTTGCTGGTGATTCCTATCGCATGGGGCGTGTGTGTGTGTGTGTTTGTGTGTGTGTGTGTGGGTGGGTGGAGCAATGTCGACAAGAGGCGGCAACGATTTTCCCTTTATTCTTTTTTTTTTGTATTTTTTTTTTTTTGTCATCGTCATGGAAGAGTTGACGATATAGTCAGGACAGTCCGCAGTTCCATTGCCATCCCAAAACCCTCGCTCAATCCCAATCCCAATCCCTGCCTGGCTGCACTTGAAGTGTGGGCGTTTGTTTGGCTTACAACAATAGGTGGAGAGTGCAGAGAGGGCGATGGAGAGAGGAGGGGGAGACTGTGTGCATGTTCGACATCAGATAAATCGGCCAAAAGGCTGGGGCGAGCGTGGACACGCAGACATTGCGGGCATAGCTTCTCCTTTCCATCATTCGGGACGGTCTCTCTGCTCTCTGCTCTCTCTCTCTCTCTCTCTCTCTCCTCATGTAAAATTCAATAAATCACACATATAGCAGTGAGGGGTACTCTCTCCCACCCACTCTGCGCCCTGGCGCGCTGTAACGGCAGGGGAAATGGAAAACTTGCATATACTAGCAGTACCAGTTTCCCTGCCACCCACCCACCTCCCTCCTCCCTCACTATCTCGCAGCCAAAGCCCAAATCAAAGCTCGCTTTTAGCACTTCAACTTGAGCACACACACACACACACACACACATTTATCTATATATCTGCAGATATATACCAACAGATAATACATATGTGTATATACTCCCACTCCCATGTGTGTCTGTGTGCTATAGAAATGTCATTTGCGTGTTGCTCTGCTCTACATGTTGTTGCTGTTGCTGTTGTTGTTGTTGTTGTTCATTTATTTATTACAACGCAAAACATTTGTAAATATTGGAACAAAACTTTTGCATTAAGTACTTGTCCGGCAAGTGGCTGTTGTCCCGTAGCCACTAAATGGCCAGATGATTGGGCCACTCAAGTGATGGACTACTGTTTGGAGGGGGGGCAGGGACAGGGACATACTCAGGCAAGGGTCGCTTTAGAATGGGATTTACGTTACTCTATTTTAGCACTTGTGGCAGATATTTATCCTTAGATATTTTTCCTTCTATTCTGTATTAGCCTCGTTATTATAGTCACTTTTTCTTTAGTAAATTTTATATTATGTTCCACCGTTTGCCATCCCACATTTTTTGCCTAGACTTTCTTGTGCCTGCACCCTCGTACTTTCTAAATCTTTTAGCTTTGAAGCCCGAACCTTCATACGAGTATGTGGTTATATCTACTTCTAAACCCCCAAAATAAAAGCTACAAAAAAACGAGCAAAAATAGCTAAAAACTAAAATTAAGCCAACTAGCAATGAGCAAACCCGAACGCACCAATGCAGGCCAGGCATTAAACTTCAGTTAACACCTAAGGATTGCACATTTGGGCCCATAAAAAACCAATCATGAAACGGGCCAAGCCGAACCCCAAAAGCCGGCCACAAATCAAGACCAAGACCATTTCAATACATTTTCATTACGTTTGATTTGCACCCGAAAGCCTGCCTTGCGAGCGTACTCTCACTTTCTGTGCAGAGTGTCCAGTTCCACTTCCAGTTGCAGCTCCAGTCCAGATTCGAGTCGCTCTTTAATGGCACTTTTATTGGCCGCACTGTTTATCGCCATCAAGTTTTAATTAAGATCTCCCCAGATCGCCGGCATCGGGCGGCATACAGCAGATCACAGAGCAAAGCATTTAGCAACATTTGGGGAATACTTTGTACGGTTTTCTGGTTTAGTTTCTTATTCTTGTCAGATATTTTATGAGCTCGTTGCGCACCCATAATTCTTATTTGGGGGTAAGTTGGAAGCTAATTGGTGGCTTGTTTTTTGGCGGCGGTCTGGGCTTTCAAAAATTTGATTTAGATTATTGCCGATGCTGTGGCTGGGCCAGTGCCAGTGCCAGTGGCTGTGGCTGTTTAAATGCCAAAGCAATTTACACAGATGCACAGACATTCTCCCACAAAAACAAAAGCAACAAAACGAAGCAAAACGAAGCGAAGCGAAGATTGCGAATCAGTGGGGGGAGTGGGTGATGGTCTCTAGGGGCGCGGACAGGGGGTATGCTATGTTCACTCACCGTTCTAAATCCGGATAGACTTTATCACAGACCTCACAGCGTATGTCGAAACCGTTCTCGTCGTCTGTGAAATCAATATCGCCTTGACTGATCAGCGATGAGTTTTTCTTATCTTTGGAGAATTCGTCACCACTGTACAGGGAACCTGAGGGAGCAGAAAAAACGAGAGAAAACAAAAACAATTAGGATTGATCACATATAATATTAAGCAGATAAATCTCAGAGTTCACATCGCACATCAACACTCACACGATCACACGATCACACGATCTTCTTTATTTGGGTTTATTTGATTTGATTTATATGTCTAGGATGCTGCACTCTTTTTTGATTGTTTAGCAGGGGTCAGCACTTGACACAACCGTTCGGTTTCGCGTTTGAGGAACAAGTGTGTCGCTGCAGGAGCATAATGCCGACGAGCTAATGTTTTGTTTGCCCGCTAACAATCTGCGGAAGGACCTGCTGCTAGCCGCTAGCCACTAGCCGCTGGCCTGGCTGTCCCGATGAACGAACGCACTGACATATGACCAACCCTCCCACCCTCTCAGCCACAACACACACATACACCAGGGCAAACACGCAAACACTTAACACAAAATTGGTAGCAGAGACAGAGGCAGAAGCAGAAGCAGAGACAGAGGCAGAGACAGAGAGAGACCAAATCGTGTGTGCACTCATATATAGCACTCGCATAGCTTGACGTTGAATAGATAATTGTCCCGAATGCGAGGTAAATACGAGCAAGGTGAGGTAAGGTAAGGTCTAAGGGCAGGCCAAGGCAGGAGCACCCCTCTACCACGAGTGCTACATACTACCAAAAGGCTACTACTTACTAACTTGGCCAACTCCTGACGGCAGGCCGACACACGATGACAATTCCAAGGGGAAATGACTATTAAAGGTTGAGGCGGAGTGGAGGAGTTCATGGGGTGGACTTTGGACTGGGCATTGGACTACCACCAGGTGACAGAGCAGCAGCAGCAGCAGTGGCAGCAGCAGCAGCAGTGTCAGTGGCAGTGCTAAGGGATGATGGCGATGACCAAAGATTATGCATGCAAACACATCCAAAGGGTCACCGGTCACCCCCTTGGGTCGCAGATCGGTTCCGTTGGACTGATTTCGTTTCAAAAGTCATATAGCACCTTCCATACACACACGAAACGAAAAACTTTCGCTCGGTGCATGGTGCACGGTGCACAGGTGTTGCCTCTCAAGGCAGCCCACACTCCCTCCCCCTACAGCTATCTCCCTGGGGGTGAGTGCTGCTGCCACCACACCACCCCCCTACCCTTGGCCAACATGATGAATATATATGGCTCTGGCTCTGACTCTGACTCTGGCTCTAGCTCTGGCTTTGATGTAATTGCTGTTTGGGTCAAAAGTTAATTTTTCAGCGTGTGCAATATGGTCAGAGAGGGCACACCAGCCAGCACCACTGGCGTCGTTAGAAGATTCCCACGTACGAGGAGTAGTGAGGAATATCTCCTTGAGGCCCTGCACTTGAACTTAGAGCTGGCCACCTTATGGCCCGCTATTGTCGGGTGGGTAGCGTGGGATAGCACAGCCTTAGCGGGTGGGGTGGGCGAATGGGCAGGCGCACACCCTTAGGGGGTGGAGTAGGCATTGCAGTAGGAGTAGATCCTACGACAGATGGTGCGCTCTAGGCGCCGAAGGGTTCGCCCTTGGGAAAAGTTTCTTTTGGGAATGTTTTGCACCAAAGATCTGGCATGATGCATTCGAAGAGAAACCGAGGAAAACTCTTTTAAAAATGTTTTGGAAAGGAGAGAGAGCGTCTGAGACTTTTCTGCAATCAAATCGAGAAGATTATGGATATTTTAGTTCGGAATTTAGTTCGGTTTTAGCTGGGAGTACTCATTCATCGCATGTAGAATGTTTGGGAGTCGTCCTTTGGGCCACATGGATATCTGGGCACTTTAAGAGGGACTTTGCCAAGTTCTTGTACCCATTAAAAACATTTTGGACACTTCATTTCGAGTGAAAATCATTAGGTTTTAGATTCTTTGGTACCTTACCCCCACTTAATACCAGAATTTTTCTTCCATTTATCAAATTTCCTTGCTTCGTTTAGCTCCCTGATGCACCCTTTCCACTCTCATCGTCAATTCCTTATCACTTAACAATTGCCCTGCCCCCGTGTCACAGTGTGCCTGCAACAATCCTTTCACGCCTTTCACCAGATCTCTCACCCTCTCCCCCCCCCTCCGCCCAAATCTATCTATCACTCTCCTCAAACAGCTGCTGTCGCTCTGCAAGCGGACAGATTGATTTACTCGCCCAACACGGCTGACAATTCAATGGATCTATTGTCGGTTCGGGCTCGGGTTGGTGCTGCTTCAGGTTTTAGGACTGAGCGTATCAGGATGCGGCATACAGAGGAAACAGATGAAGTATCGTATCGCATAGGTGTTTGGGGCAGCAGCAGGGAGTAAAAACTCTTTGACATGCCAATTACATATCACAGAAGCTGCCAGTAGCTGCCTGGCTGCCTGGTTGCCAAGTGCCACCGGCTGACCCTGAAATGAAGTTTGTACAGGGGCTCGCAGCACGGAGACGGAGCTCGGAGCTCGGAGGAGGGGGCGTGTTCCTAGTTAAACGGAAGCCAAAACTGTTGACAAATGATTGATTGAATTATTTACACCTTACAACTTGCGCCGGTTGCTGCTTGTGGCGCGTTGTTGCTGCTGCTGCTGCTGCAAAATCAAAAGTTAGATCCGCCTGCTAATCGATTTGGCACCAACAAAAAGCAACAATCCATAAAAAAAAGGGTTAGGTCCCCCTCAGTTGTGTGTGTGTGTGTCTATAAAAAAAAAGTAGCACTCCTAATGATGCCCAAATTGACACACGATGATCATTTAGCCGAAGACGCGACACGAGACAAGCCAGAGGTTTTTATTTTTTGATTTCAATTTTCGATTTCTGTTCGCTGTTGTTGTCGGCTCATTAATCATCCATCAGCTTTGCTGGCGACAATGTGTCAATCTGTACGAGTATCCGAGTATCCGAGTATCCCAGTATATGTATCTGTATCTGTATCCCCCCCCGTCCGTTTGTGTCTCTCAGAGTTAGTTCGTTTATGGGCTTGGTTTTGGTGCTCTTTGGCGTGTGTTCTGCCACCAGATACCACATACGAATCTATCTAAATGTGACGCCTGCTGTCCATAGTCCATGGGTCCATAGTTTGTAGTTTGTAGCTGGTTCCATTGTTTGATTGGTCGATTGAAGACTTGCCGCGACTTAAGCCGAAAGCCATCTCAAAAGTGTCTTTAGATATACTCCGTCTGTATGTGTATTTTGGGGAATGGGAATGGTTTTCGTTCTGCTTTTCGGGGCATGGGGAGAGTCAAGGTTTGGTCAGAGTTGACATATTTGTGGGTTGGTTGGTTGGTTGGTTGGTGGCAATGCTTTTTGGGGAATGGTTTTTTGTTTGAAGAGTCAAGGAAATGAAAAGGCAAACTGTTTTAAAAGTTTTCATTGAATTGAAGTCTGCATATTCGTTTGATTTATGAGGTATATCATTTACGGAAGTCCTTGACAATTTTCAAAGGCACCAGCATGCATGGGATGTACAATATAAATAGCTATCGGAACTATTTCTGCCTTTGATACGATCTTTGAATGGAGATCTCTACGGATACCTTAATTTTCTTTCAAAAGTGGCGGGTAACGCAGACTCTGAGGTTCGAAAAATATAATTAAGTTTAAAAGGTATTTTTGTATCTCTTAATATGTTTCTCTTGCAAATAAATTTGTATTTCTTTCCCATGCTTTGCTGCATAATTGTTTCCCTTTCAAAATGCCTATCCCATCCCACTCCTCCCAAAAACATTTGCATTTTCCCGCCTGAAAATTCCCATAGTCGACAGACAGAACAGAACCTTCATTATATATTCCAAAACACACAGAAATGTAACGGTCGAAAGTAGACGAAAAAGAAACCCCTACCAGCGCGATCTTTTGGTACCGTTTCAACCGCACTCCTCCTTGCCACCTCTTGTCGTGTCGCGGTGCCACCCCCGTGCTGCACAACGATCGCTGGCTGTTACTTATCCTTGTGCCTTGTGCCTTGCCTCTACACCCATACACCCATCTGGTGGGCACAAGGACCTTGTCTTCTGGCATGAATTTCCCTGCTGCTGCTCAGCAGACCATGAGCCAAGAGAAAACTTGTCCGAAAATACGTTAAAAAAAAGTAAAGTCAAACGGGTAGTCGGAGCGGAGTCCTTCCGCCCGATTCACAGGTGTCCGTTGGGAAAAGCAGCGAGGAGCGAGCAGGGAGCAGGAGGGGAGTGGAAGCTCTGTTTAGGGTTAGGGTTCGGGCGAGTGGTTTTGACAGGACTGTGACTTAGTCCCTGACTTTGGCTGGGACTGGGACTGCGACTGCGACTGGCAGTGAGTTTCTGTTTAATTGAAAAAATGTTCAAATATGGCAAAAGCAACTATGATCTGCAGATAAGCCCACGGACAGGCGGCATATGGAAATGTCCATTAAATTCATTAAATATTCAAATTTTAAGCTGACTCCTCGAATGCAAAATATGAGATTTAAATGTCCGATAAACAGGAAAGAGTGTGAAAAGACGGGGAACAATGGGCAGTGGAAGGCATATAGCCAAATGAGCCATGGCCATAAATCCCACATGTTTATAATCAAACACGCCTCAAAAACCCAGGGGGGATGGGATGCATTGGCTGCGCGGGTTCCATGGGTTGCGAGGCCTGCACGGGATTAGGCTTAAATTGAGCGTGTGCCATTTTGACGCGCAATGCGTATCGCTAACATCATCTTCCGCTCTCTGCCGTAGCCCTTTGTTTGATGATGGATCTCTAATGAAATTATCAAACATTTTAATAACAAATGAAAACATGTGCGGTTGCCTTATATTGCATGGGCGCATGCGCAACACACACAGGAACAGGCACAGGCACAGATACAGGAAGGGTGCTAGCTACACACGCAATAATAGGGGTGGAAGCAAAATAGGGAAGCTGTACGTCTGTGTGCACCCTCATAAGCTGTCGTCGGGTGCTGCTGCTGCTGCTGCTGCTGCTACTGTTCGAGGGGATCAGATTGCAGGATCTACCATTGCCGCTCGTGCCACAGACCGACATCTCTGTTAATTGCCCTTCGCACCACCACACACGCACACACACAGCTGTATGTATCATACTTATTGGACACACCAGCATCACATACATACTGTATAGCACTCACCATTATCTCGATCGCTCCGATCATCGCTGGGTAATGAACTCCCCCCGCCACTGGTGGCACCCGAGGCGACTGCTGCCGCTGCTGCGGCGGCTGCTGCTGCCGCCAGGATACCGCCGCTGGCCATAAAGTTGTCATTGATCTGGTACGGTGTCTTGGGACGGCCATCCACTACCATTTCACTGCCTGCATTGATATACCGATTCGTTTCGTACCACAACTGAAAAGGGGCGAGAGCAAAAAACGACACAAAAAATGCATTTGATAATTGTAAAAAATTGTCCCAAAAATTAGTGAGCCAGACTGCAGGCAGGCAGGCAGGCAGGCACGTGGCCAATGCAGTTGTGGTGGTACTCACACAGCCGCCCATTATGTAATTGTGTAAATTAGCCTCTTCGATGCACTCGATATCCTTCACGGAGCGGATTTTCTTCAGCCACGTCGACACGTCCGATGTGGGCTCGAGCCAGCCATTAAAGTTGGGTCCAGCATGGGCCTGCATAAAGAGATTTTCAAAATGAAAAATTGATATTAAATTTATATATTTTTTAATGATCTTTTATGATTTTTATCAAAATTTAATGAACAATTCTGTAAGGTACAGCTGCCGCCATCTATGGTGGTAGCTGGGCAAACTGTGCTATTTAGCACACATTGTCTTGGCTTAGCCAATGCACAAACCAACGCAGCTGTTATACTGCGGGCAATGTAGATATTGCTACATGTAGAATGTAAGTTAAGAGGATAAAATAAATTAAAATAATTTATTTAAATGTTTGCGTTTTGAAGGTATTTTCAAATAGGGAAAAATACAACAAATAAGCTTTAATTAAAAGCTCAATTAAAAGCTCTTCTTAAATTTTTACCAGTTAAATATTTAATTAATGCCAGCTAAATTTAAAAAAAAAATCAAAACAATTTTAAAATGTAATTTTTACTGTAAAACTGTGGAAAAAAAGATTTACTTAAGTAAAAGTACGATTGCTACTAAAATTTTAAAAGGTTGCCTATATATATAAAAAAAAAGCATTAATTTGTGGCTATTTTTGATGCTATTTTTCTCAAAGAAAATTCCTGAAGAAGTCTGTTCCTTCAGTCGATAACTTTTACAGCTTGTCAGCCCCCTTTTAAGACCACTAATAATTTAACCATCTTTTACGACCCATTATTCACATTATTCACACATAAAACGAACGCAGCAAGACGTCTTCAACGACTTTGCCATTGCCGCCCTCAAGTCTGCCCACAACATCAAGGTCAATTACTGCACAGTATGAGGAGGGGTCGGGGGCAAATGCAGCAACATAAGAAAACAAAACAAAAAAACCGCCGACGGTTTTTGTATACAAAATAAAAGCAGCGGCGCCAATTGCAGCAAGCGAAAAGCCACGCAAAAAAGGCAGCTAAAATACGCATAATTTAAACAAATCGTTTACTGTGGCTCGACGGCGGCGGCGGCGGCTCGGCTGCCAATGGGAAAACTACCTTAGACGTTGTGACGCCAAAAGTTCGGTCGGGGGATAAATAACAACAGAAACCACACACGCAAAATCTCAAATCAAAATCGAACAAGAAGAAAAATACAGGCCATGAAAGTCGATGGTGAAGATACACTAGCAGCGCATATATCCGAGTGGGAGTGGAAGTATCAATTACTGTTGAAATATTTCACAAATCTGTATTCGTAAAAAATATTTATTTTTATTTGCTGTTCTCAATTGAACTTCTGGAAAATCGATTCAAAAGTTGAATGGGTATGAGGTCAGATATTGGTATCATTGGAAATTATAAGGAATTCCACAGATATATGAGTTTTGGTGGGATTATAGATGTTTTCTAGTCTGTGCATTTCTCAAAGATTTCCATATAGTAAAACTGTAATTTAACTTGTTGTTACCATAATTTTTCAAGCAACTTTGAGGAATCAGGAATAAATCTTTTTTTTGCTTCCTTTTCAATAAGGTCTAAAATGCAATCAAAAGTCGTAATACCTTCCCCACAAAAGTGTAAATCAAACCAAAAACCACAATTGTTGTTGACTGAATGACTTTGCGTATGCGCAACGTTGAAGCCGCCGCCGCTGCAACCACAGCCGCAGCCACCGTTGTCGTCGCAGAAGCAGCAGCCGCAGCCGCAGCCGAAGCCGAAGCCGCCGCCGTCAGCCTCTTGTCTATCAAGTCATTTGGAAAAACGGCATTTTACAGTTTATTATTAAGTGGTATGCACTGTGTGTGTGTGTGTGTGTGAGTGCCTCGATGAGTGGGAGAGTCTGGAGTGTGGAGTGTATGTGTGTGTACAAGAGAGAGCATGGCGAGCAGCAGGCGAGGCTGCTGCCATACATACATATGTGATGCACGCTCCAAAAATTAAGTTAACAACGTTTCAAGTGGCCCCTTGCCCCGTGGCTTATGCAGGGAAAATATATACATATACCAGCAACAACAACAACAAATTATATAGAAATAAACTTTATATTTGAAGGAGATGCGGCTCTGTAAAAAGGGGGGGTGTGGCAGTGGTTTGTGGGCGGGGCAGAGGCAGTGGCAGACCTCAAGAGGTTCGTCAAACAAGTAGGTTGCCACCGTCTGCGTTTGATGTGGCAGAAGGACAGAAGTTGCAGAAGTTATAGTTGCAAAAAATAAATATGCAATATAATTGGAAGGAAAAGGGTTGGGCGATTTGTTAGGCATGCAATGAGAGATGGAATAGGAGATACTTGAAGCATGGGAATTAGAGGCATAAGGAAGTGCTATGATGGTTAAAAACAGATGCAGCATAGAGCTAAGAAGGATAAACGATAATTTCGAATAAATTGTACAACAAAGAATCTTTCAACAGTGTAATGACCGAGAATAGGTCATTTTTGAATATGTTTTATGAGTAATACGAATAAAAACAAGACATTGAGAGATGTATTTATGAGGTTCTCTATTGCCCTTTACCTTGCAATTTCTATTTTTTCTATTTAAATTTTCTCCCATATTTGCTAATAAGGGACATAGATAAATCTCCCGCAGGCTCTCACATTTGTGACTTTACACCCAGTCTACCTAAAGTGAATACTTCTGCCCGTGCTAATCTAGCTCTCTATCAAGTTCTCATTGGCAAGTAGCCTTCAAAAGTTCCCCAACAGCTGCTTCAGCCCAAGCAGCCATCAGCAGAACACAGATTTAAATCAGATATGTGAGATCGTCTCAAGACTCGAACAGAATTGTACACAGTCTTTACGGCAAACTCACATGTCCAGCAGCAACGGAAACTGCAACACGAGACAGCCACTAAAAAAAAAAGATGCAATCATTGGAATCCTCATGGGTGGATATTTGTACGCAGGATCCATAACAAGACTATATGCCATGCCAATGATTATTGCAGTGCAAACTGCTGACAATTGCTCTGGGGCTTATACACAAACAGTTCCACACAGTGTGCCGTGTGTTTGTTCGGCTATAATCCCCGGGCAGGCATCACACATGTCCTCGCTGCCTATTCATAACTTTATTAAAAAGGAGGCCACAGCCACCGATGAGAGAAGATGGAGAGGAGAGGCAGCAAAACATGACACAGTCAATGGGCAAGAAAAATATTTACGCGCCAGAGATAATCTCAAAGTGTTGGGTTCACACACCGCACACAGATCGCATAGAGGAGAGGCGAGGAGAACTGGCTTCGAATTGCCAGCGATCTATGAGGATAGAGGATCTGGCATCGAGGATCGGATCAGCAATGGGAACGGTAGCAGATAGACAGAGAGACAGAGAAAGAGACACGGCCAATGTATCTGTCAAAACGGAAATGTGAACGGGAAAAGTGCGCTTGATTTGAGGATCATCCAGAAATAAAAGGCTGTTCGAAAGGAAAGGGACCAGACCAGACCAGACCAGCTCAGATCAGTACAATTCCGTTTCAGTTCTGTTTTTCGTTTATTTTTGCAATTTTCAGTGGCTCGAGTGGCAAATACCTGAATGACAGACACACACACTCGTATCGCGGAGGTAGGCGAAAGATCCCTTTTTCGGCTACAAATTGTCAACAGGACTAGGCGCGATAATTTGATTGGATTGTCTGTCAGGGACAGATATAGAGACAGTGAGGAGCGGTGAGCAGAGGAGAGGAGAGGGGATCAGGGGCGCAAAAGTGTCAGTTGACTGACTGACTGACAATCAATCGAAGGGTTCCGTACATCGTGACGACTCAATGGTGCGCCCAGCACAGGGACAGGGACAGGGACAGCTACCCAGGACTCGTGAGGCCTAATTGGAATCATCAGCCGGCCTCAACTTAAGCCTCATTTAGGGTACACTTTGTGGATTTTCGTCCTGGTTGCATGCCTCATCGAGTCCCAGTCCTCGGGCGCTCGGCAGGAAGGAAGGTAAATTAGCTCTGGCCAGGGATTAGGCGCATTTGACTGACAATTGATACCAGCCCCGCGGCTCTGCTAATCAAATCTTTTTCCAATCGTTTGATTTTCTATAGAAAAGCACCCAAAAAAAAGATATTCATTTCGGTTGCAATTTTTGTGCAATTTTCGCACATAAAAATGGGCTCTGATGGGATTAAATTTCCCCCGGAAAAAAGTAAAATGCGGAAATTTGAGTAGGCCAAAATGCGAGCACATGCGAAAGGCTTAAGGTCCGTTTTTGGTGATAAATGTTGCAACGTATTCGTAGATGGGGGATGTCAGGCAATGGCTGTGTGAAAGGACATTTTTGTGGTGGAAAACTGCAGAGAATTTGGTTTAATTTTTGGGAATATTTTCTCATAGTTTGAACGCGACTGAAGTAGCAGTTAAATAAACATAAGGCATTGCCATTTTTTAGTTGCCATTGCATTGCCATTTTTAAGTCTAGTCTAAAGTAAAAGAATATATCTCGGGGGGGTAGCACTCACCTTCCATGCCAGCTGAGGATCGTTGGGCTGATGGCAGATTTTTACGGGGAAGGGCCCGTAGCGAGTGCCACGCTGCAGATGCGTCTTGGCGTAGACGCCACTATCACGGATATCCAGATCACAGACAGGTTCACGCCGGCGGGCCCACTCCTGTAGGAGCTGCTCCGCCTGGGCCTGGTCGTTGAAGAAATGCTCCATGCTGGAGGCTGCTGAGGAGGCGCCAGCCAGCGGCAACGTGGGAGGCGGTGGCTGTTGCCGCTGCTGTTGAAGTTGGTGGTGCTGCTGCTGATGCTGTTCTTGTGGGTGGTGCTGCAGGTGCTGCTGGTGCTGCTGCTGATGCTCCAGCGGTGGCGAGGCGGCTGCCGAGGAGGTGGCAGGCGTCTGTGGCAGGTGGTGGCGACTGGCAAAAGCGGAGGAGTCCTCGGCGGGTAGCTGCGTGTGATCCGGCAGGGGACCAAAGGCCGGAGCCCGCGTGCTGAGATCCAGATGATGGTGATGATGGTGGTGATGGTGGCGCACAACACTCGGATCGTAGTCGTCGCCGTTAGAGCCTGTGTGGGGGAAGAGATACAGATACAGATACAGATTAGAGGTAGCTGTGGCGGAGCACTCAATCGAGTAGCTGGGGTAATCCTAATCAGCAGTTGCCTGTCATGTCAGTCAGGCCCGAAATATAATAGATACGGATAGAGGCAACTCCAATCGTTTCCCCCTTTCCATTTCGAACTATCTCTGTGGGTGATTTTGCAATTGGTCGCACAGTGCAGTCCAGTCACCCAAATGATTGACAGCCTCACGCAGAACGAAAGACAGAATTAGAAGTCGAAGTAGAAGTCGAAGTCGAAGTAGAAGTAGACAAGTGGCACAAGTACAAGAAGCCTATCATCAGCACTCACTCACTCAGTCAGTCACTCGTTCAATTGCTATCATCCATTGTCCATCGTCCATCGTGGAGTACTACTATCTCCAACACAAAAACATGTGTCTTATTAGTGCTCAATAAGGGGTTGGGGAATGTGGTGGGGGTAGGGGAGAGTACTATCGAAGAGTGCTATAAGGTGGCTCACATTCACCTGAAAACGTCTCGGATTACACGGCAACTTGAGCAAATAGCATCTGGATAAATAACAATCGAAAGTATTCCAAATATTCCAAACAGAAGCGTTCCTTGGGGTATGAAATTACACAAATTTATTTGCTGCTGCTATCCAAGTAAGAACTCTTCAACGATTTATGTGACTTGTCTGACATTTGCTTGATGACTGAATAGATAGAAAGCTCGGCCAATAGACGAGACATTGAACATCCAAATGACAGTAAAGTCAAGGAGGACTTGATGGCAAAAGGAGTGCTAATCGGAGGATGATTATGCATATAATTAATCGATTAAAAAGACAATCCAATGACAGTTAATTCAAGGGTAGCTAAAGGCAAGAAATTCCCCCATTAAGTCACATAAATAAATTCCAGCCGAACGATAACTAACAAGACACGCACAAATTACCCGTCGATTATTGATATTTGTTTTACTACTTGTTCTGTTCTGTTCTGTTGTGCTGTGTGCTGTGTTCTGTGTTCTGTATTATCTGGTATCTGTTGGTGGTGTTGTTTGCTGTTAAGGTTCTTGTCTTGTCCATCCACCTTGTTCGAACACTTGAAACTAAATCGTAATTTGAGCTGTTAGACAAAATATGACAACGCGTCCACGCGATAACAAATAGAACCAAGAACCAAGAGAACCGAGAGGCGAGTGCCGAGAACCGCGAACCGAAACGATACGACCACATTACTGGTCGGTCTGTCTGTGCCCAGTCAATGGTCAACAGCAACGGCAACAGCGGGATGATAAGTATCGGCCATATAAATGAGCCACAGAGGCCGGAGCATGGCAAACAGTTCGGTGGAATACAATGGGCCGTTGGTCAGGCGGATGCTTTGCGGTAACCTGCCGCACATTTCGCACATCCTTCAGGATCCTGTGGCACACTCTATTTGAAGAGCATCCTGGGGGTACGGGTATCAGTGTCTGACACCGTCCAGCGAAATGCTTTTGAAGTGCCCCTCAAGAGCCGCACCCTCGCCTGCCTGTCTGTTCTCGCACCTACTCAAGGGTACTCATCTCTAAGTCCCTTGCCGCCCACCCACATCCAGCATGGCTTTGCTTTAGTTTGCTTTGCTTTTGTTTACTTGACAACTCAATTGTGTTGTTCGGTGATTAGTTTGTTTCTCTTTCGGGCTGGTTGCAATTCAATTATTCACTTTTACTTAAGCACAAGTGTTTTCCCTTTTGTTTTGCGGGGAGTTTGCTACACGGCTCGTCCCTGAGCTAATTTTGTTTTTTAGGTAATCACATTTGGCTGATAAAACCTGGCCGTAAATGGTTAATTGCAACTGCGACTTGATAAGGCGCCACAGCCACAGCCAAAGCCAAAGCAGGTAGGTAGGGATAGACTTTAATGGAATGGCATTAACTTTGGGGCCAATGCCTTCCAAAGGGCTGCACGAGCCAAAGATGTTCTTTGCTGTTCTTGCCTGCACTTGAACTAAGCCCGAACAATCTTATCTGCGGCGTGCTTTTATTTGGAAAGAGAAAGTCCAAGAGTGAATCAATCGATGGGACATCTATTGGGCACTTGGCTCACTGGTTTACTCATCAGCGATTGTTCCGCACTCCAAGCACACAATAGATAGAGTTCCGCTTAGATCTGAATCACTTTGTTCGACTGGGCGGGCAGCCTTCTCCCAATTGTTGCTCCGGCTTTGGCCAGAATTCACAGACTGAATCGCAGGGTGAATCCGGGCATAGCCCTTCAGATGTACATAGTACTTGGCTTTTCCCTTTAAATCCCGGATACCAGATACAACTGCCGGCTGGAAGCGTGGAACCAACCTGATATGACATATCGATCGAACAGCATGATTCCGTTTATAGATTTCACTTGTAATTATCACAATATCAACAATACTTTTTTTCATAACACACGTCGCGACATGGCCCACACACAACCACACACACGGACACACACACCGGAGAGGAGAGGAGAAAAGAGGAGAGTAGACGCGAATGGTAGGCTTTCGTTTTTTTTCCCACTAAACTGCAGTTTATATTGAGGTTTTCTTTGCGTTTTTCTTAGGTATTTGTCTGGTTTGATTGGGGTTTGATTGGGGTTTGATTTGGGTGGATCGTCTTTATCTGCCGGTTGTCTTCGCAATACTGACTGCGAGTACCACGAACGGATACGCAACGGATAGCGAAAATAAAAATGTACTCGCACGGATGGAAAATTAAACGTTGACTGCGACGGCAACGGCGACGGCAACGGCAACTGCGACAGCAACTGCGACAGCGACGACGACAGACTGTGATTCCGATTGCGAGCGAGCGCCGCAACGAACTGAATTGACTAGAGGTGATGATGGGTATGGTTTGAGGTCTCTGAGGTCTGACGACTGACGACTGTGTCCGGGGTCTCGTCCCGTCGCTGCTTTCCGGACAAATGGGAATTTTCGTGCCAGTGCAGTGGCAGGGTGTCGTCGGTCGGGCATCTCTTTTTGGTTGGTTGTTTTGTGCTGTGTTTGGCATGGTGGTGGTGGTTCCATCCTCAGCATCAGCATCATCATCATCACCAACATGCTCTCATCCCATGATCGGGAGGACCGATGATGACTGTGTATCTGTGTATCTTCCCCCTGGCAAACAGCAGGGGATGAAAAGGAGAGCGAGAGAGGGCACACACACACACACAGAGCAGCAGCAGCAGCAACAGCAGCCGCAGAGAGAGAGAATCTCTTACCCTCTGATTTGCCTCTCTCGGAGATGATTCTCTCTCTCTCTCTCTGTGCACTCTCTCACTCGCTCTCTCTGCCTGGGAATCTGTGTCAGTTTCGTATAGGACCACAATCATTATTATTATCTCAGAACTTGGTTATTCTGATTCGAATTGCAGCTCCTAAGGGCAGTTCTTCCCAGTTCTTGCCACAGAAAAGGATACTCCACACACACACACACAGAGAGAGAGACATCCAGCTGTTGCGAGTAAGAGTAAGTGAGAGAGAGAGGGAGAGGGCAATACCTTATTTACCCTCATGTCGCTGCTGCTGCTGCTCAATTTTTCCTATCAGAATGCTGCTGCTGCTGCTGCTGCTCTATGTATCTTTGAGATACACAGACAGTTGTGAAGTTGAGGGAGGAGCCACGCAACAGCAGCAACAGCAACGGCAGCAGCAAACTGAAAGCAGAGTCAGGATAATAGGGCGGGCACATCTTCGCATTCATTATGCACATCTACATGTGGCTATATATAGAACTATATATCTGTATATATAGATATGGTATATATGGTAGATACAAAAGCGAGAGATACAGATGCTGCTATTGCTGCTCTACTCGGATTTCTGTCTCTCTTTGGCAGCAGCCAATATGTTTGTTTGTTTGTTTGTTTGCGGTTTGTGTGGATGCCCCACCCCACCGCTGCCACTCCACCCTGCCATCCCACACCACCCTTTACCCTCCCACAACTGCCTGCCGTCAGACAGTGGCAAGCTTTTGGTTTGCGGTTGCCATAGCCCATATCCCATATCCCATAGCCCTCCTGCATCCGTGTATCCTTAGCATCCATTTCGTTGTGGTTCGTGTTTCTGCTGTGGCCTGTGGGGCTCAGTGGCCTGTGGGGCTCAGTGGGTTAGCTGGCTCACTGCCCTGCCGCCCTCTCTCATTCTCCCACTCTCTGCTCCCACATGTACACCTACGCCCTCCCACCACCCCCTCCAGAACGTCTGTTCCAAAGCGTGCGCAATAAGCACACATTAGGCTAATGGTTCAGTGTGTGTGTGTGTGGGTGTGCGTGGGTGTGTGTATTGCCTGTTTCTGTGTATGTGCTGGACGCACGGACTATAATTGAAAGCGACGACGACTTTTAGCCCTGCGGCTCTGCCGCAAAGTGTGCCGCCGTGGCTGCTTTCCTCCGCTTTTCCTCCACCTTTCCTTTCTGTTGCTCTTTTTTTCCGTTTTTCTGTCTGTATGTTGTACGTTGTACGTTGTATGTGTGTGTGTGGGGGGTAGGGCTGTGGCTGTGATTGTGTGGGTGGCGCACAGCAAACAGTGGTGCTCCTGCTCCCTGCTCCCTGCTGCGGGTGTGGGTTGTGGGTGCTGACAAGTACATGGGCTTTTTGGGTTTTTGTTTGCAACTTAATTTTCTATCTGTCGTTAAAGTTTTTTTGGGGGTTTATTTTTTTTTTTGCTGTTGCTGTTGTTTTTACTGTGGCGCCAGGGCCAAGGAATTTGTGTGGTTTTTGGCTGTGAATAAGCCTCTACGTATGCAGGAGGAGGGGGAAGAGGCCTCAAGTGGATGTGCGGATAGATGACTGGCCACTGAGTAAGACTTTTGATGGACAAACTGATGCAAATGGCTGAAGTGAGTAAGCGAATTTTGGGAGGGAATTTTAAGAAGGAAGTTGAAAGTATTATATAGGAATAATAACTGCGTTCTTCTAAGATTTAAGCTAAATAAATAAATTTTCTTTGGCGATAATAAGTTTATAAAAATGTATC